ACAATGGGATGATGAGCAACATTAGGCAAGGACAAACAAAGCCACGAGAGCTTCGAAAAGGCTCTGCGAAAACCAAAAGTCAAGTCGAGCCAACAGACCGCAGAGCAACAACAACAATAGCAGCAACAATAGCAACAACAACAACAACAACAGGCGCAGCTCGAAAACATTTTTGGCAAAAGCCGCCTAGCCATGACAGGCAGGCCACAAAAGTTGCACATACGCCCCGTGTAAGCTCCTCACAGTGTGATTGCTCACGTTGTTGTTGCTGTTGTTGTGTTTGTTTTTGCTTTATTGTTGTTTTCACAGCCGCCGCACAAACACACGCACACACACTAATACACATGCAAAACAAACTTTTGGCAGAGCGCAAAATTTTTTAATTGATTAAAGCCACATTTGCATTGCGGCTTACAAGCAGCTTAACAATTTTTACAAAATTTATTTATTTTTTTATTTAATTTTCTGTTTTTTCTTGTTTTTTATTACAATAAACTACAAATGTACATGTGTACGCGCAATATTTGCACTATGCATTTGCAATTTCATAATTGAAATTGAAAAATATTTTTTGGTAAAAATAACTTTGGTAAATATTTTCAGAATCAACTGTAATTTATGAGTTGGTAAAAACTTGTGATAATTAGAGTTATTTGGAAATACATATGTATTTAATAAATACAAATAATTAAGGTATTAAATTAATGTAAGTTTTAAAAAATTACAGAAAATCACAGCAAATCCTCTTAAAAGTTACAATTTTTTAATAATTGCAATTTCACTTTTGTTCTGACAATTTTTATAGATTTTTCTATATTTGCTTCGACTAACAACAAATGAATATCTGTTAACAACATTTCTAATTGCCCTTGACTTGAAAATAAGTAAAGCACATAGCCACAGGCATATTTATGAAATTTTATTTTAATCTTTTTGAATTCGAATCTGTGAACAGATTCTGAGCATGTTGAGAGAGTTGTGCTGGCAATCACGCAACAACAGACCAACTTGTTTGTATATATAGTTTGCATATATATACAATATTCAATTTGTTATATGTTGTACAATCAAATTTTGTCCGGGCAAGACTTTTATACCCCGCAGAAAATAGAAATGCAGGTTACGTAGTCTAGGAAGCTTGTGTTAAATGAAGAAAATATAAATGAAAGTCAATATACATATGTTTATATATGTATATGAGAGACAACGTAAAAAAATAAATTTTCCACTTAAAATTTTTAGGTTTTAGCACATATAACTCGTGGTGAGTTCTATTAATGTTATTTAAAAATTCGCTGATGCTCCCAACTCTACAAATATTGTCAATATTGTCACCAGTCTCTAAGCTGTCGGTATTTGTGCCCTGTTTTATTTGTGTGAATTTTATTATTGGACTCTCGCACAATTTCCGTTGTCAGTCGTGTGTTTTGTGGGTTTCGCAGTTCGCATCGTTTGGCTTCTAATTTCTGCCGCATGTTCATGAAGCGACCAAATCGAGGCACTCCCATTCCGGTTGAGCAGCCACCCACACTGCGGCGTCGACATACTTTTCATTGGTTTTGTTGTTTGACTGTTTGGCATTCACGGCGTATGCGTGTTATAAGCGCTTAACAGTGCCAAAAAATCGAAAAATTGTTGCTACAATTCTTTTGCCATTTGGCAGCGAAAAAATATCAACGATGAATGGCGACCAAAACTCTAAATTGGTCGTAGAGCAAATTTACTATAGTTTTACTGTTATTTGGTTGCTTATGCGCGTGTTTTTTCCGTTTCGATTTTTGGCCGACTCGACACTTTTCTCCCGATTTATTTAGCCAGACGGACTTTTGGACCTTTGGCTTTGCTCTCTAAGCTGTAAATGAAGTAAACTATAATATTATAATTGCAATTTTCAATTTAATTTTATAGTAATTTAGAACTATCGACAAAGTAACTTTAATAAACAACTCAAGATCCATCTTTTCATATTATCCATTAAGCAATATGTCGTAAGTCGACGCAAAGCATAAAAATAAAAAAGAAGAAGACACTTCTTAAGTGGCATTACGGCTGGTGTGACTTACAACATTAGCACGCATCAAAATGCAAAGTAATTAAAAACGCCAACGACAAAGACAGACAGCGAAATTACAGAAATTACATGGCGCAAGAGCAATAACAACAACAACAACAAGCAGCATCAGCATGAGCAACAGCAACACAATGACAATGATTGTCGGCCGTAATGCAATTTAATGACCAACAGAAGCCAATGGCCGTAACCACAGAATGGCCGGGATGAGTTTGAAGTGTTGCAGATATTGGTCAAAAGTGCCGCCGACTGGTCAACAAAAGCCACACGGACAGAGCTGGCGAGCAGCAGAGTAGCAGAGCTGCTGACCGGCCAGCAATGCGAGATAAACGCCCATTCGAGCAGTCATCAGGACACGCTGGACGCACAAAGTTGAGCTTGGACAGCCGACAGGCGACCAAGTGCGCTCACATAATAATAATGGAAATAATTTAACTTATTGGATTTTAATGGGATTACATATGCGCAACATGGCCAGCAACGGGTATTAAAACTTGGTCAACTTCATCACAATGTTGCCCTTGTTTAACTATTGTGTGTGTGTGTGTGTAATGGCCGTTGATAAAGTCAAATTTAATAATGATGCTTGGTCGATCACTACTGATTGTCATAATTGCATTCATTTGTTTAAAAGAGAAACACCATCCATTGCAATACTTGAAAATGTATATAAAATATAAAAATGTACAAAATATATGCGTACTTAAAAATAAATGCATACAGCTACTCGACTACGAGAAAGCAAGAGACGAAGCAGACTACAGATCCTTTAAGTTCTCTATAAATATGCAGCAGTACTCATTTGATATTTCTATTCAAGTGAAACGAAGCGAAACGAAGAGTAATTGAAGCAGCAGAGAGACTTCCCATTGGTCACTTTAAGATCGACTGCAACGACCACTACCGGGCACCGGGCTCAACATTTGAGAGCGACTTAGTGATTGAGTGAAAGTCCCCCTATATAAAGGGCAGCAGCTGCAGCATTTGTTTAGTCTCCGAGGCCTGTCTCCGAGGTCTGTCGTGCAGTGCAGTAAAGTGAAGTGAAGTGTGTGTAAATATTTAATTATCGTTCAACTAAGCATTAAAGGTTTAGAGAAAATAATTGGGGGGAATTCTAGAAGAAATGCTTCGACGAAATACTTAGAGAATATACTCAAAAAAAAATGCTTGGAGGAAATAGTTGGAAGATATGCTTGGAGGAAATTTTTAGAGCAAATAAGAGGAATACTTAGCAGAAATACAGAGGAAATAAAAAGAAGAAATACTTCGTGTAAATGCATACGGACAGACAGACAGACAGTCAGACGGTCGGACAGGGCTAAATCGACTTATATATATGTACATATAAAAATGATATATATCTCATGGGGTCTGCCACGCCTCCTTCTGTCTCAGACATACACTTAACAGAATCATGATACCCTGATTTCTCATGTTGAATAAGTTCAGGGTATAAATATATGTATTAAAATTGATTTAAAATTAATGGAGACACTTCTTATTTCATAACATAATGCTATATATATATTTGCACTTTCAAGAAACTTAACAAAACGATTTCAAGACTTAAATATAATTTGATAAAGTAAAATAATTTTCTGAATTTGACTTTCATATCTAATTCGATTGGAGAGACTGTTAAGCGATACAGCAAAAGAAGTGATATTATATTCATGTTCAATAACATGAATCTCATATTTACCATTTATTTAAAATATTCAAAGTAGAAATATAATCTTGCCAAAGCAGCTCATAATAAATAATCATATTAATTAATTAAACATTTGCTTAAAGCTCAGCTGCGAACATATCTCAGCTGAAATGAGACCTTGCCTGATACAAGAGAAAACATGCAGCACGCACACACAGATACACACAGGCACACAGACACACATTCAGCAACCGCAACTTGACGGCCTGCCACTGTGTGCCGTGTAAACCATATTGCATATCCTGCCGCACTGCAGCACCCCCTGCTGCTAATGCTGCTCCAGTTAGTGCTGCTGGCTGAGCGAATTTTGTACATGTCTCTGGCACGCTTCGGCTGTGAAGACTGTTTAAAACATTTAAACATGGCTGGCTGATGATCTACTGCCTACTACTGCGAACTTTCACCGGCTGCCGCCAGGCAGTGGCCAAAAAGTTTGTCACGTCAGTCAGTCAGTCGGTCAGTCATCATCGCATGGTCAACAACTAACCGCATGCCATATCGCATCACAGCCAGGCTGCCAGCTGCCGCGGGTCTCGACAAATCCAGGCATGTAAATGTTAGCTAGGCATAATATGTATGTGTTAACCTCTTTTTTTTTTAATCTGTGGGGAAATACAATGGCTGGCAGCTCATTTTATAATGTTACTTGTTTCGTTGCTAAATACCCTGCACATATTGGTGTGAGCTCAAAAGGGATATACATATATACTCGAAGCACAAGAAGAGAAAATATCGAAGTTGAATTTATTAGGAGAGGATACTATGTAAACAAATTTAATAAGAGTATATTAGATTTGATATTCCCAGATGCTTCTGTACACCTAATAATTTATAGACGTTTATTAAATTTATTTATTGGATGGTGTCAATTATAAATTGAATCCAATACCACTAGGGTAATTTCTTTTCGATGGCACTCCGAAATGACTACTTATTCCAAGACTAATTAAATAGGACGATTTATTCGGGTTATATAATTTATTGTGTATAATGTATAGGGTGTAATTTATTGTGTGTATTATATACAGATTGCAAATAAAAAATAAAAACAATTAAAAAAATAAAAATAAAATAAAATAAAAAAATTTTTGCATTATATACATGTATATAAATGGAACAATTCAAATCGTGCAACAGCTCCAGCCTTGAATAGAGGGTAACTTCTAGTGGAGACGTCGTTAACCAGAGTACTCCCACATCAGTTTTTGTTGTTTTTGCTATGGTGCGGTTGCCGCATTTGCTGACCACATTTTAGCTTCATTTACAGTTATTTGCCGCATTGTCTCATCGGATATTACGTGTTACGGCCTTTCGCATAGATACCTGATACGCACTTGTTCGAGTTGACGCCCAACTACAACTGGAACTTGGCCCACACGCCAAAACCGCAAATTCAATTTTGGTTTGCAGCCTACAACGTTTGTTTACAACGCTTTGTTAATATTGTTGTTGTTGTTGTTGCTGCTGTTGATGATGTTGCTGCTGCTGCTGCCGCTTCGTAGTGTCCCCTTTGATGCAATTTATGTGAAGTGTTTTACATGTTTTGTTTGCCTCTAGCCGCAAACGATCTTTTGTGCTATAAATCAGAAGGCGAAATGAGAATCGGGGGTGTATTTGCATTTGTATTTGTTAACTCGTCCAACAGCTGCACTGCTTACCATTTGATTAAAGTTAACGGCTAAAATTGAAATTCAAGCATCTGCACTGCTTGACATGGAGCTCTCCGTAGGTGGATTTGATTGTAAACTGCTTATGGGCTGCACCCGATAAGCAGAACATTTGAATACCCTATACAATAAATTAGATTAATCATTTTTGTTTTATTTATGGTCTACATGAATTGACTTGCCTCAGGCACGTTGCTGCGATTTATTAGTTGGTTTTTGCTTATCCTCTTTCACTGTTTTCTTGTGTGCATGAGGTTTTGGTGGATCTTTATTCGCCTCCATAGGGTCACATAAACACACATTCCCCACTACAGATTTTATCCCATCAGTTTTTTCAACTAGCTTCGGTAGCTTCGGTAAGTGCTTGAAGAAATCTGTAATGGAACCTGTGTTGACTTCAAGGGGTGGTGCTTGCTCGACATGGAAACTTTGCACCCAATTATCGACTTGCTCGTCAGAGTTATAGGACAATTCTGGAATCGTTTCAGTTGGCGATTTGTCATTGTTGATTCGCTTTTTATCAGCTAGCTGAAAGATATCTTCAATGAGTATATTCTCCACGTGCTGATCGGAAACGGAATCGATCTTCTCATTGCCAGTTCTGGTAAATGTCGATATACAAAATTCTTCGGACTTGAGCTTTGAGAGCAAGTCTTTCTTTCGGTCGGCCTCGCTGGAGAAAATCTTAAAGCCCTCTTGTTGCTATGAAATGAATTAGTTAGATATTGAAATAATGAAAACAAACCGATTCTCAACATAAAAAATAAGAAATTGGTAAATAATAAATGTTTCTTAATGAGTAAACTTAAAAACAATTATAAGCAGAACTATTTACTTCGATATAATCCTCCACATTATCTAGAGTAAGCTTCGGTTTTTTCGGTGACAATTGGTTGTCCGGATGTGCACGACGAGATCGTTTTCGTTTCGTCGTTATCTCGTCTGACAATGAACAATTCTGTTCCTGATTATCCTGTCCAGGAATCGGTTCCGTTAATTGCGCATTGTGAAGTTTTTGCAACTCTAACGGACGATTACAGTGATGTTGTCCATCAACTTGAAGATTTTGTTGTTCGAATTGTTGTTGATGTGGATAACGTTCGCGTGACCTTTTTCGTCCTTTAACTGGACCAATTCCTCCAGCGCGGCTATTTAAATCTTGCAATGCAAGTTGCTCTTGCTGCTGTTGAAGATGCCACTGACTTATCTCTTCTTGGTCATTGCGTGGCTGTTGCTCTATATAATCCTCAAATCTAGGCTTCTGCAGAAACTCATAGAGTAGTATATTATATGTAGTATAGAATATAATATTAATTATATTACATTGCGGCTAAGCAGCACATCTACAACAATACCAACCTGACATGGAAGCGGCTGTGGCTCACTATTCAGCTCATTTGGTATACCGCCTGGTATCTGGTCCAATGGACCGCTTCCTATGAAGTTATTGTCGGACTTCACGCGTGGTATTCGTAGCGCCGATATTGAATCCGATATAACAGGCGGCTGCACCTGTGTCGACTTCCGAGGCGGAGGTTTGATTGGGGCATCGGATTGCTCGCCATCTAGTGGAAAATTTGGGATGAATTGCGTGACCTGTAAACGCGGATAGTAAGTGGAATATCATGTTCATTAACTGCAATCTGTACTTACAGATTGAACCGCTACGTATGGTTTCAAGGTGGTCACCATACACTTCCAGAACTGCTCATAGTGTTCTTGCCATTCGTCAGAGCTGTACTTTTCGACACCCGTTTGAGTGACCACCTGATTCCACAACTGCTTTATTTCGGCAGAAGTCAGGTGTCCAATCTCCATTGTAGCTATATATTTCTCGCAAGGTTCAATCTTTTTTAATATATTTTATCCCTACTAGCTTTTTATTTTATATTTTTTATTCGTACTACTTAAACTTTTTTAATATTTTTTATTCGCACTACTAAGCTTTTTTAATATTTTTCATTCGTACTATTCAAACAGAGCCTGGCACGATAGTGAACACTTCAAAATTAGTAAGTAGCCTTGTAATGACACAACTCTCACTTTCTGACATTTAAATCACAGCATAGATGATTGGAATAAATAGAACAGCCACTCTCTTTCCTTTATCGATGACTTCTACTATCAATAGTTTTTAAAATTAGTTTCATGTCTAGAATACCACCGAAGTCTTCATAGAAAATTAAATAAAACTCATTTCTGTATAATTTCATATATATATATATAGTTTTATTATATAATGGGAATTGATTTAATTAATATTGTTTTGCCTAGCTACAGATGAAAACTTTCATATAATGCATGTATAACAATCAATAATTATATGCTCTCGCTAGTATATTTCAAGTACATATAATATATTATTACAAACTCTATTCCATTTTTACATTCGTAAGCAGCAAACGAAATATTCATATATATATATATTATGTATATGCTATTCGCTTTGTATAAATATTTGATTTGTTAATTTGAAATATGAAAACTATTAATTTAAAATTTGTATACGCGTTGCTTACTTGAGTTTCTCTATTATATCTTTAAACATTATGGTACTTTTGATTTATTTGAGAGTAGAACATTTTGATTATGTAAAGTGTATATGTGGGAGCATGTATATATATAGTATTATCTAAATAACCAAAAACAAAGACGATCAATTGTGGAATGCAATGAATTTGAATAAAAAATCAATGATTTGGGAGATCTACAATTATGTAGTCCTCAAATACTATGAGTTAATAGGTTTGGCCAATCAATTTGCTAGCTAGCACACGGATTACAACAGCAATACATACACAAATTCATAATAATAGTCGTACATAATACGTATAGTTACTAGCATTTAGTAATTTGATATGATCATGAATCACAACAATATGTTATCAATATCTATTGAATATACAATGTTTTTCGTTTTTTCTTTTAGTTTGGCGTAATATCAATTTTGATTTACACGGTTACATACACAGGTAGCAATATACTCATTTGATTTACTCGCATGTAAAATAATTAACAATGTGCTATATATTTAAAAATTGCTGCTTTTGAAGACCTAGCAATGATAATAAAAAAATAAAAACAAAACAATAAAATCGATTTCAAGATACTTTTTTGTAAAGGGAAAACATTCTTTGGAACGATAGCAAACATCAGCTTAAAAATATAAAACCAATACAAATATATAGTATAGTTAGTAATAGTATAATAGTATATAGTCGAACTATGTACGTAAGTATATGACGACGAACGGCAACGTGAATAATGTCCGTGTTTAGTACGGCTCAGTCTTCTGCTAAACTCAACGCAATGTATCAATGATAAAAGCGACAAATGACTCGAGGACGTCTCTGTTTGGCATTGGCATTGACTATATCGCATACTAGGCCTAGGCATTATTGTTCTCGCCGCAGCATTGTATGCAGTCCATGCAGTTGTGCTACCTGTTTCCATCATTCTTTCGGGTCATATTCGATGAGGTCAATTGTATCTACAAAACGAAAGATATCAATTAGAAGTGGACTTTCAAGAATGACGCGGGATATACATGCATTAAATAGCTAGGTGTTTCTGTGTGTAGGTGTCATAAGTAAGATTCATGCGTGCAATAAGTGACTGACCTTTAGTCCTTGCATTATTATTTGTGGTATTCTTAAGGCTAACGTATTTCAACTTCTCACGCAAAACAACAAGTACATAACGTGTAAAACGACAAAAACGTACGAACAACATTTAGACGTGTACAGATAGACAAATAGACAGTTAAGTGAGTGTGGAGCTTTGTGTCAGTGCAATGTGGTATTGTTGAATACAATTGAAAATATACCTGCATGGAGCGTATGGTATCTAACAAGGCCTTCTTCTCTTCTAGCAATATGCTAATATCATCCTGTGCTGCCTTCAAATATGAACGCAGAACATCCATATCCTGTCTGGTCTTTTGCCTGTTTGGATATTCGAATAGAATTTAACATTTCTTATAACGGTGTGAAATGTCACACATACCTGTAATTCTCTGTGTTGACCTTGGAATCGACGAGCTGTTTACGCATGTGCTCGTTGTCAAGCTTCATTTGCTGCATAACCAGTTGCATGGACAGCAGCTCACGATCGCGTTCGCGTGTTGTGCCCCGCAAAGCACCATTCAAAGTCTGCTGCTGGTCAGCGCTGATATTTGTATCTGCAAAGATGGCAAACGTATACATGGATCTTAAACTATGCCGAGTTAGTTATTAACACACCTATGGGCTGTATGTTGAGCTGGCCAGTTTTGTCGCGCTCCAAGTGCATGCGTCCAATACACAAATTAATGGGCACTGGACCCGGCGAAGTAATATTGACAGGCGGACGATCTTCCAGCAAATTGATTCGCACGTTTTCCAGGTATATCTAAAAGACAAAACAAATGAGTTATAGGCATTTTAGGCCAAATAGCAAGTTTACCGAAACGGGCATAGGCGGCGTTATTATCTCATCCTCAGCCAGATCAGCTAGACCAATCACTGTGCTCATTGACAAGTCCATATTTATGTCCTTCACGTGTATCTCGGCATGATGTGTAAACCAACTGTGAATATCAAAGATAAAATAAAAGAATATGAGGCATTGTTAAGCTGCAAACTATGGATCACAAATACTTACCTTTGTATACGCTTGCGATCAATCAATCCATCAATTTCCTTGGGCATGTTTAGAGTCTCTTCGAGGCGCAGTTTGATGCAGGGCGGCGCCTCTGGATTGTAAGGCGCCAAATTCCAGGCCTTACAGCGTGCTCCAAACTTGGTCTGCAAGTGAACCGCAAAATGAATCAATGTGCCCCCATACCAAGCATAACACTCTACTAGTAGTTGGGCTTGCATGCATAACAATCACTACAAACATGCATAGTGCATGCAACATGCAGTCTGCTGTGAACGGATGTATGTGTGTGAGTGTGTTTGAGTGTGTGTGAGATAGATTGATGTTATGTTAAAGATATACTACGAAGCAGAGTTAATTTCAGATTTAGTAGTTGTCATTAGCGCTAAGCAGCGTGTTTATTTAGTGTTTAGGTCTTTGGTATGTTAAAGCGCCAATTAAACCAAATGTACGTTTCCAGTTAGTGTTGTTATTGTTGTTTTAGTTGTTGTTCTAATGGTGATCGTTAGAAGTTTGATTCGTATATGCCCAGCTGAGGTGTGAACGCCTGCAAACCTAAGTGTAGTCATGACCAAGCCAATTCGCAAAATAAAATCAACGAGAACTTAAGAATATAAACTTAACTTAAAATTGGGTACTACAAAGTACAAATTAACTAATTAATCAAAACATGATGCACTAATTAAATTGTTCAGTATCTGGAAAGGCTCGCAGATATAGGCATCGGGGCGCATGAGGGGGCATGCTCAAAAAACATTCATATTAAATAATAAACAATTCAAGAAAGAAAAGCTGCCTACATTATTTCAGACTTTATATTAACTTGTTGAGTAATTGCATATATATTTATATATATGTAAGAACAAATAACCCGTTCAAACTAGCATATATTCGTATAGTATAACTAATAAATATTTAACTACTTTAACTAGTGGCCAAAAACGCTTTCAAACCGCAGCAGCGCTGGCAACAGGAGCCAACACCAAAAGTTAACTACAGAGAAAAACCAAATAAAACTTGTTGAAAAATGTAAACGTTAAATTAAAAGGGCATTTAAATATTTGTTAATAAGTATATACAAAAGCGGCATAAATCATAAACAAATCAAGTTAGCTGTTAATAGAGAATTTCAATTTTGTAGTTGAGCTTTTTTTCTATACCTTGTTCGCTTGATGCGCGATCTGTTTTGTTGTTGTTGAAGAGTGTTGGTTGTTGTTGTAGTAGTTGTTGTTGTTGTTTTAGAAAATGTGTCATGTAGATGTTGTTGTCGTAATTCAATTTACAGTGTTCGTTGTTGTTTATAGAGTAAATTAAACGTTGAGCACAATATTCGTATTTAATTAGCACACATTGAGATCGATTTTTGTTTGTTTTTTTTTTTTTTTATGAAAATATATACGGTTTTTAGAGAAAAGAGAAAATATAATGAGAAAATGATTATATATGAGAAGTTTATCTTACAGTAAAATGTATTACTAAATAATCATTGAAATCAATTGTTTCTTTGAGCATAATAACTTTGTTAGATATTCAGTAGAGATTGATCGGAGCATGCAGAAAACGTTATGAAAGTTTAGGCAAAAAACATTTAATAAAGTTTCGGCAAAAGTTTAAAATAAATAATTGAAAATTTGAAAACACAACGAAATGATTTGCTTATATACAAAACTCAAATCGTATAAAAGAGAGAAAAGAATAGTGTAGACATTATAATGAAAATACAAAAAAAAAAAAAAAAAGTTGAAAATATATAAACAATTAAAGCCCAAAATCTTGCGAACCTGCAACTCATCCCAGGGTATTGCGCCGCATTCATCACAGGAAACAGCCGACACCTGCAAACGCACCGAAGATTTAGGGCCCTCCTGCTGACGTATGAGTTCCACTGTGGTTAATCTACATTAAAATTAAAATTGGAAACAGAAATGGATTGAATGAGTCGCTGAACTAAAATGCAACAAGAATGCAATCGCAACCTAAAGGTAGCCATGGAGACTAGATCCCGGCGACGCCAAGTGCTAGCTTCTGAAGGCTCTGATGGCGAGGACATGTTTGTCTTGTAGCTGCTCGGTTCCTCGTAAACCTCGCTGGCCACCTCAACGGGCGAGGCCTTCATGTTGTTGTCGTTCGTGAATGGATTGAGCCGGAACATGACGTCCATGCAGTCCATTGTCTTGTCATCACCCA